TCCCCTCCGCCGCCGCCCTCGCCTTCTCCCTCGCCACCACCGCACTCCCCGCCGCCCGCCCCACCTTCGCCCTCCTCCCCCAAATCCTGAGCCTTGGGATCGGCCGCGGCGGGCGTCTCGGTGGCCGCCGCGGGCGGCTCGGCGGCCGCTCCACGCGCCAAGGCTGCCTCCTCCTCCTCCTCGGAGTCGGTCGCTGTCGGACCAGCGCTGCCCTCCCGCTCCATCGACTCGATCGACAGGCTCGAGCCGAACGAGACGGCGCTCTTGGCGGGCATCGCAAACTCGGCAAACTCATCGTCGTCGTCCTCCGCTTTGCCTCCGGCCGGCGGCACGGCGGGCACTCCAAACTCGCTGAACTCGTCGTCGTCGTCGTCCAGCGCGCCGGCCGCGGGCGCGGGATCGCCCAGCTCGATCCCCGGGCTGCCCAGCTCGCTGCCATACTGCGAGGTGCTGTGGGCGCCGAGGCCAAAGGCGGAGAAGTCGTCGTCCTCCTCCTCCTCTGGCGAGGTGGTGGGCTGGCGCGCCCGGTTGTCGCTGCTGAATTCGCTAAAGTCGTCGTCCTCCCACTCCTCCTCTCCGTTCTTGCGAGACATGGCTGCGCGCTGCTGTGTAACACACGCCGGCCGCCAGGCGAGGCACGGCGCTCACAGCAGGGCCAGCACAGGGCGAGGGAACCCGAGATGCTGGGACGAGCCTCGCGAGACTGCGTCAGCTGTTCCCACAGCAGGCTGGAAGTACCTGACAGCAATCGGATTCTTTTTTGATAGCACGCGGCCAGGCCAGTCCGCACCTGTGTCGAGCAGCCTGCGTCTTCCACTTTCTTTTCTGTGGTTTTTGTGATTTGACATTTGTGTGTGTCTGTCTGTTTGAGAGTCATCCTGAGAGAGCGAGTTTGTTTTGTTAATGTAATTCTTTTTGGCGAGAGAGGCGGTTTAAGAATTCTTCCAAAAAGAAATATGAGAACGGCCGTGGCTTGGCACCTTGGCTGGGAGCGGCGCTGCAACGTCGGTCCTCGGTGCGGGAGACGTAGGGAGTGTCTCTTGGGGCTGCTGTGCTCGTCCTGGCAGAGCCCGTCCCTTTCCTACAGCGCGCCCGCCATGGCGCCGTCGAGGCGGAGCGCACTGCTTTACGAGAGAGCGGGCAGGTTCTTGTTGTGGTTCGGTCCTCTGGAGCGCTTCGGCGATCCCCACCTCTTCCGGCGCGAGGAGGCGGCGCGAATCTGGCCGTGCCTCCGGATTGCCCAGTGGTCTTTGAAGCGAGCCTCCGGTGTGGCGCGCACCTTGATGACCTTGTTCCTCAGTGCGTCCATCAGGACCCTCCGCTTGAGGTGTTTTTTGTGCGGCACCACGCCGGGGTAGCGGTCCTGCACGAGCTCGTACAGCCGATTCGTGGTCTGCATCCCAGTGTCGCGCAGCACATTCATCACGGCGCCGCATGGGCCTGGCAACGTTGCCGGCTCCGGCAAGGGCATCACAAACTCGCCGCCCGCCCGCGCGCTGTCGAGCGCTCTCCTAAGTCGCTCAGCGCGGGCTCGCCGGCTAAACGACGCTGCAAAGGCAGCGGGCGTCGCCGCCACAGGAGACGCGCAGAGTGCGCGGCTGCGCGGTGCGAGGACGACGCCAACTGTGCGCGCAGCGAGGCGGAGCATCGCTCGCAAAAGAATTTTGTGACCCGCTTTAATGATTGAAGGAGAGCGATGATAGGGTGGATAAAGCGCCTGTTCACGGCATGGAGGGTGAGCCACACCGAACGTACCGAGCGAAGAGCCGAACGGAAGGAGGACGGGGAAGATGACTCCGACGAGGACGAACCAGTGGAAATTCAGTTGTCAGATGTCACGATGCATCCGAAGGGGACCCCAGCGCCGGCATCATCCGTAGAGGCACGAGTCTTCGAAGAGAGAGTGGACCTGAGCAACAACATGACCTGTAGGCAAATGATCGGAGTGGGAGTCAGAAATGTGGTCCTTGCGCGAGGGGAGCTCGATAGACTCGAGGGGCCAGGATATGCAGCAAGGAGGGCGGAGCTGCGCCGAAAGGCGAAAGAAGCCGAGAGAACAAGGGAACGGCAGGCGGCGGCGGCGCAGGACGAGGCGGAAGAGAATGACGCGACGGAGGAAGTGACAAGGGAGAAAACGACGAGAATGGGACGGCCGCGAGGTGGCATGAAGGTTGCAGCGAGAATCGGCGAGAGACTGCGAAAAGAGATAGGAAGAGGCAGACTCCCTAGGGTGGGCGACGGCTAGCGCATCACACTCCTCTCCTTAAAATCCCTGTGTGGTGGCGGCGTGCCGTCCTCCCATCCCTCCCTTGGGTTGTCTGTTTTCTTTCTTTCTTTCTTTAGGAGAGCGATGAGTCAGAGGATGAAACAGCAGGGGAGAGAACGAGGACGAGAGTGAGAAGAACGAGAGGTGGCATGAAGGTCGCTGCGAGAATTGGTGAGAAACTGCGAATGAGAGATAGGAAGTGGTAGACGAGCGGGTGGGCGACGGCTAGCACCACACTCCTCTCCTTAAAATCCCTGTGTGGTGGCGGCGTGCCGTCCTCCCATCCCTCCCTTGAGTTGTCTGTTTTCTTTCTTTCTTTCTTTGGATTGAAGAAGATCCACACAAAGATCCCTGACACCAAGATCGTTCTTCTTGAGAGACCAACAAGAAATCACGACTCTCACAGTGATTTGGGCTCGGCAGCTTGTCTGCTCAGCCCTCAGCCGAAGCTGGGGCCTTTCTTTCTTCTTGTGGTTCGTGCAGGGCGGGGACACATGTCCCTGAATCCCATCTCGTCTGAGAGTTTGAGAGAGAGATTCCTTTAGCAATACCAAACAACTCTAACACTCACACACGTCATTTGGCCTGGAGCCCTGTTCACGCGCGCGCGAGACGTGCAGACAGGGTTGCCAGGTTTGGAGAGTTTGTGCCAGTGCCCAGTGCAATCAAACGGGCCTCCTTCTGTTTGGGCACGGGCAGGATTCCCCAAAAGAAAAATAGCTAGCCTCAAACCATGTATGAGCAAATAAAAGAGACTCCTCCCCCACACGCTCTGGAAGGCAGCCCTCGCTACCGAGGGCCGGCGCGCAGAGCTGCGGACCTACTCGAGAGGCTCTACTCGGTATGTGTAAGCGGCTCGCTCTCGTGGTGGGTTGGCCCTGAGACCCTATCATGAGAGCCTTCCGGGGCCGCGCCAAGCAGCGCGGCAGTCCTCCGCGCACAGGCGAGTCTGTAATGAACATCGTCGATGGCCGGGGGGCGTGGCTCGATCGCCGCGATCCATGCGATGACGCGTGAGGCCGCCGGACTCAGGCTGCTGCGGCGGTCGTCGCTCCGCTCGAGTCGGCCTGGGCGCACTCCGCCTCGGACTCGGAGCTCGCCTCGGACGTCTGGTTGGAGAGGAAGGACTCGGAGTTTTGCACCCAGCCGCTCGCCTTGAGGATCGAGGTGCGAGGCGACACGATCTGGACCAGCGGGGACACGGTGGACACCTCCGCGCCGACCGCATCGTCGCATTTCTCCTCCGCCCCGTCCGTCTCGGCGGCCACGTCCGGCTCAGCAGCCACCGCTTCCGGCTCGACCGCCCCTTCGGAGCGCGGCGAGAAGAGCTTGCTCACCGTCTTGGCGAAAGACTGCAACAGGTTGAGCTGCGGCGCCTCCTCCTCTGCAGGTGCTTCCGCCGCCTCCTCGGGCTTCGGCGCCTCGAGTTCCGGTGCCGACTCCTCCGGCGCCGCCTCGGGCTGCGCCGCCTCCTCTGCCGTCGCCTCCACCGGCGCCTCAGCCTCCGTTGGCTCCTCGGGCTGCGCCGCCTCCTCTGCCGTCGCCTCCACCGGCGCCTCAGCCTCCGTTGGCTCCTCGGGCTGCGCCGCCTCCTCTGCCGTCGCCTCCACCGGCGCCTCAGCCTCCGTTGGCTCCTCGGGCTGCGCCGCCTCCTCTGCCGTCGCCTCCACCGGCGCCTCAGCCTCCGTTGGCTCCTCGGGCTGCGCCGCCTCCTCTGCCGTCGCCTCCACCGGCGCCTCAGCCTCCGTTGGCTCCTCGGGCTGCGCCGCCTCCTCTGCCGTCGCCTCCACCGGCGCCTCAGCCTCCGTTGGCTCCTCGGGCTGCGCCGCCTCCTCTGCCGTCGCCTCCACCGGCGCCTCAGCCTCCGTTGGCTCCTCGGGCTGCGGCGCCTTGTATGCGGCCTCCTCCGGCGCCTCAGCAGCCTCCGCTGCTGACTCCTCGGGCCGCAGAGCCTCGGCCTCGTGTGAAGACGCCGCTGCCGCCTCGGCGGGAGCCTCCGGCGTCTCCGCCACTTGCTCCTCGAGAGCCTCCGCTGTCGTCGCTGGCCCCTCCGATGCCTCCTCTGTCTTTGCTGCCTCCTCTGCAGTTGGCGCCTCTGGCGCCGCGGCGCCGGCCACGGCATCCTCCGAATCTTGTGTGTATTCGGCCGACGTTGCCTCGGGGGCGGCGGCGATGGGCTCGGCGTCGGGCTCGGTGCCAAATATTGCGGTGGCGTTGGTCTCAGTGGCGTCGGGCTCGGCGGCGGTGTCGGCGGCGAAGGCGGCGGACTCGGTCGCGACAGTGTCCTCGCTAAAGACGGCATCGTTGACCGCCATCGCGACCGCTGAGGACACGATCTCCTCTGCCGCTCCCTGGTGCTCTTCCGAAGGTTGCTCGGCCTCGCTCGTCACAAATGGCTCTGAGGAGTCAGAAGCGGGAGAGGGTGGGCATGCCGTAGCCACCTCGAGCTCCGAGGGCTTCGGGACGGTCTTCGGTGAGGAGGGCTCGACGACGCTGACGCTACTCTTGGAGCCGCAGGCGCCCATGAAGCTGAGCGGAGCGCCAAGGAGAGGGCGGCTCGTGCTCTGAAATCGGCAAGGCATGTCACGCGCGCCGATTTTTCTCTTTTTACTACTTTCACCACAAAAACCCTACCCCCCCAATGCCGCCGCGGCCGCGGCCGCCGCGCCGCCCACAAGCCTAACTGCGCTCGGCATCCGCTCGTAGACGGTGCCCTTGAAAGCGGTGCCGAGGAGCTCCTCGTAGTTGACGCTGACGCACGGCGCGTGGCGGCAGCGGGCGCTGATCTTGCAGGGGAGGCCGGTCTGGTTGAAGGTCGTGCAGAAGCCCAGCCCGTCGCGCGTCGCGATCGCCTTGACCTTGCCCGCCGCGCGCGCGACCTCGACCTTGTTGTCGGCGAGGAGAGTCTGGAAGCCCCTCTTCTTGGCGACGCCGGCCGCTGCAGCGCGCCGAGCCTTGAGAGCCTGCGCCTCGCACAGCGTGCCGTGGACGATGTCGGCGTTGGTCGACCCGAACGCGCGGCAGGAGGGGCGGAGCTTGTTGCCGAGGATCTTGACGCACCCTACGTCGAGGCGGCGCAGGGAAAAAGAAAGAAAGAAAACAGACAAGCCAAGGGAGGGATGGGAGGACGCAGGGAAAAAAGAAAGAAAGAAAGAAAACAGACACGCCAAACGAGGGATGGGACGAGGACAAGGTCCCCACCTGCACGAGCAGGATTTTGGAAGGACGATCAGGGGGACAGGTGGGGCTCTCCTGCTCCTGACAAGGGACACGACAGGCTCGCAGCGCGGTGCGCGGTGGACTCCCACATCCACTGGCGGTCTCATCTCAGTCTAGCGACCTGCCTCCAGCTTGTCGCTGGCAGTCTCTCGCACATGCACACTGACACAGGGGTGGCAGGGGCGGCGGCACGAGTCTCCCACATACTATGCGGGCCTCACTAGAGGTGCGGCCTGTGCGTGTCCTCGCCCTTGAGGGGGGAGGGGAAGGGGCTGTGTGTCTGTGCATGTGTGTGTGTGTGTGTGTGTGCATGTGTGTGTGTGTGTGTGTGTGTGTGTGTGTGTGTGTGTGTGTGCGTGTGGAGCCGCCCTGAACGCCACGAGCGCGCCGCGAGCGCCGTAGCGCCGGCGAGCGCCGTCGGCAGCGCGCGACCGCCACCCAAAAGTGGAGGTACATTAGGAGCCGCAGCCGGCCTGCTCTATCAGCCCCGCAGCCGCGGTGGCGCGACCGGACCGCGGTCGCTCCAGGCGCCTTTTGGCCCCGGTTCGAATCGCGGTTGGCGCGCGCCCTCGCGGAGCGACGCGTGGCGCGCGACGCGCGCGCGTGCGCGTGCGCGCCCAGCCGAGCCCTAGGCCGTCTGCCGTCTGCCGTCTGCCGTCTGCCGTCGGCCGTCGGCCGTCGGCCGTCGGCCGTCGGCCGTCGGCCGCCGCCGCCGCCGTAGCGGCGGCGAGCGCTCGCCTTTTGCGCGACGCGCGTGTGGACGCGCGCCGCCCAGCGCCTGACGTGCCGGAGCCGGTCCGGCGCGCGCGCGGGCGGCCAGCGCCTGTAAACAGACAGCTGCCGCCCACACGTTCAAAGCATGTAGGACGCAGGAGCCTTCGCCAGGTCGTGTGAAGAGCACTGATGCCGCAGTGAGTGAGTGGTCCCGGGCCCTGCGGGGAACTAAGTCGGCGCAAGTTAGTCTGTGAGCTGGACGAGGGCTAGTGGTGCGCCGTGGCGGATCAAGTGGTGAAGTGCTCCCGGGAGTCGTGGTCGGAGGCCGGGACACTACGCGCACTAACTTAGTGTGCGGAAGTGAGTGCCTCCGGCCGGCCGCGAGGGGAGTGGTCCGGCGGGCCGCTCGTAGTGCCCTTCGCCGGCGGACGGAGGCGGGCTCGGCTACTACGCGCACTAACTTAGTTTGCGGAAGTGAGTGCCTCCGGCCGGCCGGGGGGGAGTGGTCCAGCGGGCCGCTCGCAGTGCCCTTCGCCGGCGGACGGAGAGGTGGGCTCGGCTACCACGCGCACTAAGTTAGTGCGCGTAGGGTAGTGAGTGGGCCGCCGGCGAGCGGGCTAGTGGGTGAGTGCCTCCTGCCACCCCGCGCACTTAAGATAGTGCGCGTAGTGAGTGGGCTGCCGGCGAGCGGGCTAGTGGGTGAGTGCCTCCTGCCACCCCGCGCACTAAGATAGTGCGCGTAGTGGGTGGGCCGCCTTCTAGTGGTCGGCGAGGCCGTGGCCAGTGCCCCGGCCCTGCGGCGCCGCCTAGTGAGTGAGTGCTCGCCGACCCTCCCCACACTAAGTCGGCATCGGTGCTGTGTTTTTTAGTTGGCGAAGGCTCCGTAGGACGCAGGGGTCCAGACGTGCCGGCCAAAATTCTTTTTCTCCGAACACCAAAAAGCGAGCCCCCAAAAGGACTCTCGACGAGCGTCTCGTGGCGGACCGACCTGCTCACGAAAATACCACACAAATGCAGATTCCCGGGCGCAGGAGCCCACCGTGCACGCGGCAGAGCCCGAGCGCCAAGGCTGACGTCGGCCTCGAAGCATCGTGGACGAGCGGCTACACCTCGCCCACGTCATCCCTCAACTCCGCGGGCGCTGTGGCCACCGCCAACCCCGGCGGCACGTCATCACTCAACCCCGGGCGGAGGCGGCGGCGCTGGCTGCTCTTCGGCTGCGGCGGCTCGAGCGCAGAGTCAGAGGGCTGGGAGTCCGTGCGGCAGCTGCCCAGTGCGGAGCCCGGGGCCGTGGGTGAGGCGCCGCTGCTCCCCGGTCTGGCTGCGCTGCTCAGCAAGCCGGGGGCGGCGGCGCTGCGGGCGCTCGGTGACAAGGGCGACGAGGGGACGGGTGCTCGCTCCTCGCTTCCGCTCGAGGGCGGCGCCGTGCTGCTGCACCACTGGCCGCTCGGCCTCGCGCTGACCTGCGTCGGCGGCGCCGTCGACGAGGTGGAGGTGTTTTGCGACCGCCACCCCTTCCAGCAGCGGCCGCCCGGCCGCCAGCTCCTTCCCGGCGTCTCATTCGGCTCGTGTCGCGCCGCCGTCGAGGCTGCGCTCGGCCCCCCCATCGGCGAGGGGTCGGGCTGCAAGGGGGGGTGGCTCTTCTACGGCCCGTGGCGGCTGCCCGGCCGCAAGAAGCGGGGCCTCGTGACGCTCGCCCTCTGGTTCGGGGAGGGGGCGGCCGGCGGCGGAGGCGGTCCTGAGGCCGGCGGCCCCGGCCGCAGGACAGAGCTCGATCCGGAGAGCGGGGGAGGCGGCCGGAGGGCGCCGCCCGGGGCGGAAGCGGAGAGGGTGGGGGGCGCGTGCGAGAGCGGGGGCGGGCTGCAGGCGGTGCGGCTCCTCCGCTCCGACGACCGCTCCCTCTGGCGCTCGACGCACGCGGTGCGGGAGGCTTCCCTCCGGACGGCAGACGCGTGCATCGCGGACGCGCAGCAGGGCGAGGCGGGGCGAGGCGAGGCCGAGGCGGGCGGGGCGGAGGAGGGGCCGCAGTGGCGGTGGCTGCGCAACCGGCGCTTCAACGCCGCGACGAACGC